CAATTAAACATGGAACAATTTCAAAATAATGCTTAATAACAAAGTTGAAATTCGATCTTCAACTGTTAATATCTTCTAGGAATTTTCGAAAAAAAAATTTTCAATATTTTTGTCGTACTCCCCAAGGGCGCCTCTATCACTCCTTAGAAGGAATGACGCCAATTTTGAATCACCCTGTATATTTACTTCACATTTATCAGCCTGTGTCTGTGCAGTGAATTGTGAGGTCGCAATTTGACTACTAACGCTACTAGACGTTTTGCAAAACTCCAAATTTGCATTATAAAGTACATAATATTTCCCGATTATCATTTGATAACGCGGCTTTACTGTTGTAAACTTATTCTGTTTTAACATGCGATAATGCTTTAATGATAATAATTCAAAACCGTCACGTTCTCTTTGAAATGGCATATTAATTTAGTTCATAATTCTAAAATAACGTTCATCTGTTAAAGAAAAGACAACTACTTTAGCTAAATAGACATTTTGGGTAATAAAAACAAAAAATCATAGTGTTCTGTGTGTTCTGATATTGTTCTGATTCTGATTTAATTAGTGTCTGGTTGATTTCGGTCCATGTTGTTCGAGAAAAAATCTCAAGGCGCTCTGAAAGACTGAAAGATGTTGCTGCGTAACCATATTTATGATGCTGTACATATAAAAACGCATACTGTGGACAATTTCAGTTATGTTGAATAAAATAATTATCCATAGTTTTAGTCGTATACTTATTTTTCAAATAGAAATTTGAGATATTTGCATTAAAAACCATTTTATATTATTTTTAATTGATAATAATTCACTTGTTAGCAATGAAATGTAAATCAATATCAAAGTTGATATAAGTACATAGTTCTAAATTGAGATTATTATATCTAATAATTAAAAGTCAGTAACTACATTTCAAAAAGTATGACTTCGAAATTAAGACCGTTTATAATTTTAGATTAGAAAATAGTATAACCATATATTATTTTATATCGGGGAAAGCTGAGAATTTTTATGACGGACTCATATCCAGCAGCCGGGCGAAGTGGGGCTGATAATAGAGCAAACGGGGAAAAGTTACTTGTCTGTCCTTGTTATTTCTTGCTCAATTATCAGTCTCACTTGATTCGACTGCTGATCGAAATACCCATAGGAAGTATTACTTTTCCTTCCTATAAAATAATATAATATTTGTTTAAAAATTTTTTGCGTTCAATTCTAATATTAAACACAGCATATAATAATGTTGTCAATAGTTTTGGGTCGTACCCTAGAATTAATATTGGTAAATCAAGAAACAAAAAAGTTTGCCAGCCACACTTTCCAAAGGTTTTTTGGCGATAAAATGCGATATTTCAACAACTTTTTCTCTGGTAAATACTTTTAGTGTTGATCCTATGAACAAAATAATGTCACTACGATAACTAAAACGAACTAAAATACACGACTTAAAGAACTAAACTCCAAAATAACGTAAATACTTCTAGATAAGTATGTAAGTATAGGTAAGATAACCTACCTATGCATAAATCCGCGAAATTGTCCGGCAAACAACTTTTTAATTTTTTTAGCGTGGTTTCATTCGAACGTCATACAAAATTATGTTAAAAACTTTCAAATATGTAATATAATAACAATAGGAAATGACATAAAATACATAAAATTAAAATGTATATATAAAAATTAGCGGACAAATTAAATAAAAGAATTGCTATTAGTACCTTAGCAAAGCTTTATGATGCTTAACATCAGACATGCACGGCCAGTATTTTAGGTATATTATTGCATGGGCATGCTTCCTAATCATGCTCAGGGCTTGGCAGAAAACAGGGCATGGCGAACATGATTCCATCTTAACAACATCTGAAATTTTCCAATACCATAATTATCAGCCTTTAATTATATAATAAATGCATAACATTTCATAAAAATTAGTGGATATTTTCAATTTGAAACAAGCGTCTCTTGGTTATTCACTACCTACCCTTGAAAAAAATTTTAGTGTGATGTTTTGATGGACCTGGATATTTAGTTCCATTCATTCTCATATTCTCACATGCAACTTTTCTCCGCATATTTAGCAGACTTTTGTTTAGATAATAACATATCAGACATACCAGGTTTATTATTCTACAGTAATGTTCTTTCAGTCAGAAGAAGAGCAAAGGTGGAAATCAGTCTATTATATGTTTACAAAATTTACCATAATCTAAATAATAATGGTTGAATGTTCCTATTCAATATAATAAAAAAATAAACGAGCAAAATATCGTTTTTAAATAAACCTATTAGAAAGAGTATATTGCTATATCAAGAAAATTGTAATTTAAATATTTAACCTATGGGAAATTTAAATGTCCGGTATCTTCGAATTACTGTCTCCGATAGTGAAAAAACTGAAATGCCATTAAACCATACGTTCCAAAATCTACTTTCACACTGTTTGTATCAAATCAAATTCAACACACAATGGAATAAATCTGTTATCGCCTTATCCATTATGAGATGATACAAGAATTAGTCCATGCATTTGTGAGTGGTAGTGTGCCTGGAAAAGCAACAGAATAATGTAGACATCAAACAAAAGAAAGATTCCTAAAATTGTAGATAAAAACCAGAATCATTCAAATTCAAACTCAAATATATTACGAAAAAATGCAATTTAAAACCCTTTAGGATAATCCAACAAAATCTTTAAAAAGAACGGGAAAAATAACTTAATAAATTAATTAAAAAAAACTGAAAATGTTTTTTCAATTGATATTTTATCTATTTCTCCTGTAACAAACTTATGTTTGAAATGCGTACTATCGAACTAATGCTGGAATAGAGTTAGTAAGTAATTACAGATGAGGTTCACGAACATTTTGAAAGTAGAGTTGAAACATTTTTTTACTTTTTTGCGCAAATGTCCCTCTTAATTTTTTTACAATTACGAAATGGTCACAACTCTTCAATATTGTGGTACAATTTTCATTATTTCCGTCTAAAAACTATTTTTTGCGATTAGTCCGGTTCACTTTGGAATCGGCACGAAACGGCAGAAATTACGCTTTTATTACGGTTGTCCAATTGGAAGAAATTTATTTCGTTAAGCTCTAGTTTTTCAGTGGAAATTATTTGTTGTAAAGCGTAACAACTGCTGGAAAACATAAAATCCGTATTTCTGTGCTTTGCAAAGATACTTCTTTTTGCTTATGCGTTAGAGAATTTATTAATACCATATTGAATGGGTTTGACAAGAATGAATTGTAATGTAGATATCGTTTTATTGGCGTTTGGTTTCATGCACTAACCATTTGACTAAACTTTCTAGATTATTAGAACCATCAGTTACAGGAATAAAATGCATTATAACATATAGAAAAATAATGTTAAATATTCACATGTATTTGATCAACTTTTCAAATAATTGTTACTATGATTATCTAAATCTGAATTATCTATGATCTATGTTGTTTTCATTTTCTTTTGAATTATATTTACTCCAAAACACTTAAAATTGCTTATTGTTTCAAATAGAATTAATTTGTCGCTTAAAATAAAAGCGGGAGAAATGTGCTTCATAAATTTGGTTAACAAAGCAAAAAATAGAGTGTTTTAATAAAGAAAAAATATAATTTGCAACACGTAAAAAATTGCGTAGTTATAACAACACTCTGGATATAGAAAAGAAACTACAGTGTAATTATACAGGGTGTAAATTCCACGTATTTAAAAATAAAAAAAAACAGTAAACGGAGTAAAGTAGAAAATAAACTTCTAACTAATTCCATTTTCAAAATAGAAGCTCCCGAAATGGTTTTATGAAGTAACCTGAAATTTGTTATTTTCTTTATTACTGGATATTTTAGAAATAGTATAATCTCGATTTAATGCACACGATAAAGCATTAACATATTTCTTTCATTAATAGTCATAAGATCTTGATTTCCGGAATTATACTCAACATAATGAGAGCTTTTTAATTGCCTTAAAAGTTGAAAATGTTGTTAATACACTTAAACATTTATATTACTCAAACATAACTTCCAATGGCAGTTTTTCTTCGTGAATAAATTTCTAGAATACCTGGACATAAAAAGGCAAATTTTCAATGTTTTCATTGTCCATATTTATTCAGCATCCAGTGCGCGAATCGTTTTCAATAAAAAAAGATGTAATTGCTTCTTTGAAGATTTGAGTAAACATTACCTATGTTTAAAAATGTAGAAGTTACCCCAAATAAGATTGAAAAAAATTCAAATATCTTCAACTATTTTTATAAATACACAAAATATTGTTTGGTAAATATAAAAAATTTGTAAATAATTATGTTATTGATTTGATTGATATAAAATATTGTTCTGTGCGTTTATCTACATTTTAGGTATTTATAATTTATTTTCGTCTTGCTGATGTGCCTTTTTTATGTTTTCCTGTTAGGAGACCGCTCAACAAGAATATTATTCTGCTTTCTGTGAAAGTCCTACATTTAGTCAACGCATAGTAAGTTCCATAGAGTTTGTTTACTACTTTTCAAAATATTTTCCTGTCCTCTAACGTTTAAACGAAATATTCTTGTGCTTTTCATACTTCAAATACTAATCTTCTAATATATTTGCCTATATTTAATACTGTGAGTTCTTTTTAGGACAATGTGATTTTGCTTGATGTGTAAGTTTGTACTTACTTACTTGTACTACTTTATACTAATTTTAACCATTGTAGTTTCTACAGGGTAATAGTGCGCTCCAAAAAAGCTCTTAAACACATTTTTATTTTAAAGAATTTCGGATAATTTACATTTAGTTAAAAGTCAAAAGGGTACATAAATTATGGAAACATTATGCAAAAACAGTTTATGAGTAAAATCAATTCCTCTTCTAATTCATAACTTCCTCAATTATCAACATCTTATCGTTAAGTTTTCTGAAATTCATATAAATATGTTTCAGCTAATAGAATTAAATTAAAGTGAAGAAGCTGTGCTCACAAGCAATAAAGTTTGGTTACTTTGCTTCAATAAACTGAATAAAACGGTAATTTGGTTGAAAAACCCGTGTTTCCTTTTTAGGTGCGTTTTAATTTGCTAACATCTATTTCTCAAGTATAATAAGGATAACTAACCATTTTCCTTCGAACACTGGCAATATTTATCGATACAAGCTAAGTAAACACAAAAACTGCAGTTTCTGCTTTCTCATGCCATTAAGCAGAAATTTAATCCCGAGACTGGGGTCTCATCCATTTTTGATTCAATTTTAAATGTTTTGCGATCAGTCAATAAATCCTCCTTCTCAGTGTTTATGCTGAAGTGGATAATTTCTTCTTGCATAGCTGGGAGCATTATTTGCAATAGCAAAGCAATGTTCACAACTTTCAACGATAGATTCCTTTTTTGAAAAATGTATCGTTAAAATGTCCATTTCAATCTCGATATTTATTCAATCAATTTATTATTTTCTGATTATATTTGATGGAAACGACCAATCAGTACTAGGAGTCATTCAGGTATAATTTTCTTGGTTCTTATTAGTGAAGATGTTCTGAACGAATTTTATCTCATGCAGCTTTCTCTTTCCTTATGTTTCGGTTAATGTTGTTAGCTTCAGCAGCACGTTGCAACTTATTTGTAGCATCTTCAGCTTTTTATCAATTTGAGTATTATCCAATTTTAAACACACCACATACAAATTATCTTCCACAATGAAACTAATGGGTTTTTCGGGTTTTTAGGCCGTCGTTCGGTAGAATTTCTTCTTGACTTTTCTCAAGCCACTCGCGCTTGCAAACCGTCAAGCAGAAATTCTACCGAACGACGGCCTAAAAACCCGACAAACCCATTAGTTTCAAGGAATGGCCTCGAAAGTATCTCTATCTTCGACAATATTACCATACTGGATGGAGTCATTCTTCAAGATTCAAATGTCGTTTTTCACGTCTCTGTCTCAAATTTGATTGGTAAAAATCTCCATCCCTAAATGCTAACCCAATTTGGGTCAGTTGCATTTTTTGCATTCTTTTTGTAAGGTGATTTATTATATAAAGTAATTGTTTACAGGCGAATAAAAACGAAATTACATAGTATATAAGGAATTGGCGCATAGAAAGGAGCATCTGGAAATAAGCGACACACTGAATGTAAAAATGTTTTACATGTAGGTAGTTCTTGAATTTAGGTGACTAACATATTGTGGTAACCGACAAAGCCGAATAATGTTATTAATTTCGTTAATAATATCAGTTACTCTGCTGTGAAAATATCTAACTACCTATACATGTAAGTAATGATAATTTGTACGGTGCGGTGGTCGATATTCAAAATGTATCACTGCTTAACTTACTCTCACATTTAAAAGTTCTCCATTAATACCAATTATATTTCCACAGAGTGATAAGAAAAGTGAATCAACCACAGTCGCAAACGAAATCGGTACTTGCAGCAATTGTGGACCAAATCCGTGTACTCACACAAATAATGGATGTCCAACAGCTGAGGTAAGTTATTATTTATTTATTTATTAAGAACGCCTCTCACGCATTTAAAAAATGATTACTATCTATTTTCTCAATCCTCTAGGTTCCAGTGTGCTATCTGCGGGTACGATAATAAATAAGTTTAAATATTCTTCGTTTGTATAATTGAAGCGCCCTGGCATGGTTATTAATTATTTTCAAAACGTGACTGACAGCTGTCAGCATTCCTTTGTCATTTTATTGCATTAAAAATGGCCACTTTCGTCATGGCAACTAAGAGTGACAGGATTTAAAAAAAGGTGCAGCAAAATAGCCATATGAAAACATTAAAGTGGCAATATTTCGAAAACCAAACACTTTTGGAATAGACATCGTTCACCAACTTACACTTATTTTTAATACTTAATATGACAAAATTATCAAAAATGGGGGTTTCTATTTGAAAAAATTGATTTTGGGTGGTTGTCTCAATTGTATTTTGAAACTCATTTTTTTGCTCTTTGTATTAATAGTTTTCAAAATGTTTTCAAACTTCCATTAAAGTAAGTCCTTTTCATAAATGCGACTCAAATTAAGTATGACTAAATTCCCTTATAGAAAAAATGAATAATTATTCGAGTGGTTGCAACTGTAATTTTTTACATAAAATTCCAAATTTATCAAAAACGGTTAGACTTACGTATAGGTATAGTATATATTATACATAAAATATATTTAGAATTTGGAGTAGAATTCAAAAATTTAATAATACAGGGTGGCCATTTTCTGAATCTTTGTATGGGTAACTTCTACATTTTTAAAGATAGCTAATCCGTTAAATGGGCAAAATTGGGCAAAATTCCATTGCCTATTCATTACCGTTTTCAAAATTTAGGTACCCGACTTGGTTCCTGAAATATCCCGAAAAGACAAGATATCAACAGTTTTTTAATTATCACTTATTACGTAAACTGCTTAACTTAGAAAAAAAGTTAAAACTGCCCTTAGTACAACTTTTTGCGTTGAATCCAATAAACCAGCACTCGTTATCATAGTCAACTTGATTTACAAGATAAAAAATAAACTTATGATTTTTTAAATGGTAATCATAGTTGGCTGTGGGCCTTTTAAAATCCTTATTTTTTTCTGAATTTAACGATATAATTGTTTTTTTATCTCGTAAATCAAGTTGACTATGACAACGAGTGCTAGTTTATTGAATTCAACGCAAAAAGTTCTATCAAAGACAAGTTTAACTTTTTTTCTAATTTAAGCAGTTTACGAATTATATGATAATTAATAATAGCGTGTAATAATAATAACAATAAAGTGTTGATTTCTTGCCTTTTCAGGATATTTCAGGAACCAAGTCGGGTACCTAAATTTTGAATACGGTAATGAATAGGCAATCGAATTCTGCCCAATTTTGCTCATTTAACGGATTCTCTATCTTTAAAAATGTGGAAGATACCCATACAAAGATTCAGAAAATGGCCACCCTGTATGTAGGATGTTCTATATAAAATAATAAAGTTGATAGCTACTTCTGGTATCGCCGGAAGTGATGCCATTTTGAAAATGTTTTAAACCGCAATTTTCAAATTTCGCCTAATTACAGTTTTCCCGGTGGGACACCCTGTGTTATTCAGATAATATAACCAGACGTCAAATATGCAGGTCCTAGGCGAAAAAAAATATAGCATATTTCCAAATTTTTTAAATTATGTCAGTAAACATTTTAATAACTTACACAAAACTCTGTGAACACCTTCAACCGCCTTCTCTCTCTCTCTCTCTCTCTCTCTATCTCTCTCTATCTCTCTCTATCTCTCTCTCGCTACTCCTCTATTGCCTATATTAGCAATGCTGGAAATCATACTTTGTGCATCGCCTCTGTGTCTTCTTTTCTGTTGAGGTTGTTATTGCGCTTATAGATATTATGCTTATATTAATGGATATTGTGCTTATAAATAATAGATTTTCCTATTTTTGGGGGGCGGCGACCTCGGCGTCTACGGATTTTATAATGTGCTTTTCTTCATTGTTCCCCCACTGCCAATTTTTCCACTTGTCTTAATCTAGAGTTTTTTAGCCGTTCTTCCATCCTGGTTCCAAGTTCAGGTTTTTGCTAATCTCTTTGGTTCTAATGGGTTATATTTTATGGTTCCTACGTGAACACATCCACAAGAGAATGGTATTCGGTAGTTTCCTACAGTTGAATTTACATTTACATGCAAAAGCAACAAGACATGCCAACTTTGATTTAGGAACACTCTGCGGATATTGCATCTACTTACTAATACTTTTTTTGTTAAATAGGCGCCTGGTATGCAGGTGAGGAAAAAAGAGCCGCCGCATCCAATTAGAGTAGCAAAGACTATAGACGTCATAGCAAGAATTACGTTTCCTACAGCATTCGCAGTTTTTCTTATCTTCTTTTTTTACCACTACAAGAGCTTCACCAACGCACATGAGTAAAGCTGCTGGATTGAAACAGAGAAAACTGGAAAGTATACGTACGCAATCAACTTTAAATTACTAACTGATATAGTCTGAGTAAAATATTTGGGCAACTTTAATAAAAGTGACTTGAAAGGTACATATCAAGCGCCACATAAGTGGACTTGTTGAATGTACTTGTTTTTATTAGCGGTGATGATTTTCGAATTTTCTGCAAAGTTCGCAATACGCGGTAGCTCTTGAAGCACTGTACATAATTAACGTATATATGAGATACTTATTACGTAAACGTAAGCATCCTACGTACCCTTGAGAACAAGCATATTAATTTTAACGTAAAAGTTATGAAACGAAACGAAATTTACTCACTCAAAGCTTTCAAGAATTACCTTTAATTACTCACATTAATTATTAGTAGGTAAGATTATTATAAGGTCAAAGAAAATATAATCAGTTTCAAATTCGGGAAGAAAAGTCGAACCAAAAATATTACAGATTTAAAAACGTTTATGACAGCCACCGAATTATTAGAAAATATTTTTTGATGCGGCTTATTGGTTTTCTATATATCTATATCTGGTTTTCAAGAGGCATTTATTTACTCTCATAAAAACAGGTAAATGAAGGTACATTTGCTGAATCTCCATGTCAGTTAATAACTTGTGTTAACACACGTAAATAATTATATGAACATAATGCAGCATCTCCTCTGGTACTGGGTTTTAAGTGTAAGTAAAGTGCCTCTGTGATTATAGGTATAATTAGTTTATCCCTGATTTGTTGATAATTATATGTATATTATTATATTATATTTCACATTTGTTTTGTACCTGGATAGATGTATGCTATCATCGTTTTAAATTATATATGATACGTTTTCCATAAATAGAGTTTATAAAATCGTTAACTTATAGCTAAAATTTGAATTTCGGTGACAAGATATTACTCGATTTCTTAGATAATTATTTACATAAATAGATGCATTCCAGATATACTTACTAATTATCATATTTAATATTTACATTAAATGCATTGTAAATAATTCGATTTTAAATAGTTTATTGCTAGTATTATTGAAATAGTTGTTATATCTACAGTACCTCCAAGGGTATTGGGTGATTCAAACTGAAACGATTAATGAATAGAAACCGTTGTTACTAAAATCTCGAAATAAATATGGCTGTAGCTTGTGACTAAGTAAAAATGAATCGGATTTATTTTCTAGGTTGCTATAGCGAAAGCAAATTTGCTAAAAATTAGTCTCATTTAATCATAAACATGCATTGGAGCAAATAATTTTATGGACCCAAGTGTGCTCTTTAAACGAATGCTTTGAATCACTCAACACGATGATTTATTTTCGTTTTACAAACGGCTCTAGAAATTGGAAATGGTTATTTTTTTAATATGCAGATTTAATGCTATTCAGCTTCTACTAAGCTTTAAGATGCATCATTTAACAAAACACTTGCCCTTTAGTTAATGGTAACGGACAAATATAAAAGACATCCCATTAAGGCATGCGATGCGCAAGGAATTTCTCACACACTTTCACTTGAGATGTCTGAATAAATCTCCATCTATTCACAATATTAGTTGTCAGTATATACAGAAGAATTAGTGACGTAAGTAGCCCTCTTCATATATACAGAGCTAAAAAAATTTTCCCAGTAAGTCACGTATTTTTAATATAATACTGTTGAAGCTCAAAAAAAATCGTAATAAAAAAATGTGAAGTAAAATATCTGGGATCGATGGCGATGGTTATCTTTCTACTGAAGACGCCATATACACCTTTTTCAATACTACTTTTTAGAAAGACATGCAATTTCATAAAAAATTTTGTATAAGCCAACCCTTAACATGCTACTACAAGTTATTGAAGCTAAAATACGATTTAGCCCAATTTACCTTAATTTAAAAGTGTATGTTTTGGGAGGCACATCGTGAAAAAAGTTCAATCTGGTTGTATTATTACCGAAACATGTGTTTAAGAGTTGGTGTATTTTGTCAGAATATTCGGCTAGAACGGATTCTTGGGCTAGAAGATACAGTTAGAACGATAAAACTGTTCTTCATTCAAAATTCAAAATCTCTGGAGCTTTTCATCGTTTTTTAGCTTTTTAAAACAAAAGGCGGTCAAGAGTATGAATGAATGAAATGAAATGGAGAGCATATTTGAATTTCGCACCCGAACAATCTTCGCAAACCAAATTGTCTGTTTCTCTCAAGTCACCACTTTTGGGCAAAAGTTTATTCATCATATTTTAGGCTCAATAGCTTGTGGATTCTCCGCAGTCTTCAGGGACACCCTATATGTTTTTAAATTTATACAGGATGGTCCTCAACTAATATCCAAAAATTCACTGCCATTTTGTTTAGGCAAAAATATTGCGATTTAAGCCAATTTATCTTATCCGAAATTTAATAGATTCCGAGATACCGAGTGTCAAAGTGTAAATAAAAATTTCGTTTTTTCTGAATACATTTTTAATCAGTTTTACTAGTAGGTACCACAAAAATTTGTGTTTGGGGGTTTTTTAGATCGGCAAATCCAAATTCCCTAGTGATTGGCTTGTAGTTTCTAGAGGGCGATAGCTGCAATAGCCTGGAGCCATTTAAAACATCAGAACTTTTTTGACTTTTAATATATCGCTTTTTTGTCAGCGTTTTCGAGATATTTTACATTGAAACATCTAGTCATTTGTAGATCAGTTCTATATTGTTGAGGATTCATTTTTGTCAACTGATTTTTGGGTATTTCGAAACAAAAATTTTTGTCTTTAAAAAAGTCCCCACGTCTTTTGTTACAGATTGATAAATAGTGCTCTTATTTCGCAAAAAGAAGTAAGGTAATAATAAAATAATAAATAACACAATTCTTATTGCGAAATAAGAGCACTATTTATCAATCTGTAATAAAAGACATGAGGAAATTCTGTCCTTTTTAAAGACAAAAATATTTTGAGGCGAAATATCCAACAAGCAGTTTGCAAAAAAATCTAGTCATTTTTTGAACTAGCTCAAATTAAATCCCTAATATTGTCGTAAATTGACTTATATTACTTTAAAATAGTTCTAGAACGCACCTTAGTAAATACTGTCTAATGTTTGTTAAGTTCTGTTTAATAGAAAATTTGCGTAAAGAAAAATCTTTTATTTAGAGACATTTGAGATTGATTTCCAATTAGTTCAAAGAATCACTATATGTTTCAATGTGAAATATCTCGTAAACGGTGAGATATATCGACTTCACACCAGTACACATGTCATGTTTAAAAAATATCACAAAATGTGATTTTAGTAACCGTATGACGATATTTGAAACGCCAAAAAAGTTATGATGTGTTAAATGGCTCCAGACTATTGCAGCCAGCGCCGACTAGAAACTACAAGCCAATCAATAGGGAATTTGGATTTTCCGATCTAAAAAACCCCCAAACACATTTTTTTTTGGTGCCAGTAAAACTGATTAAAAATCCATTCAGAAAAGACGAAATTTTTATTTACACCTTGACACTGTATCTCGGAGTCTATTAACTTTCGGATAAGACAAATTTGCTTAAATCGCATTATTTTTGCCTAAACAATATGTCAGTGAATTTTTGGACATCAGTTGAGGACCCTGCATACAAGGTTTTAAAAAATATATAAATTTGGCTCAAGAGCAAAGTACCTAGTTGTTTTGCAAAAAATGAATACCATTAGGTACATACTGAGATTTAAACCCAATTCGCTTTTTGATATCATCAAATAAAAAACTGCTTTACTTTTAAGCTAAAATCACACTTTTTTAGAAGCAACTGATTCAATAGGATCCATTTTAGGTTTTGGAC